TTTGATGGTAAGTGTTATATTTATACTGGTTTATACCATCATTACCATAAAATACAATCTCTACGATAATATTGTCTTGTTGACAATAAAACGCATTTAATTTTTTGACGTATATCTATATCTATAATCTATAATATATATAAAGCTCAATGCATTTACTAATCATCCTCTCACAATTAGCTATTCAAATATTTCGTTCTAACTATTTTGTCTTCTTGTGCCCTTTTTTTTTTCTCTATTTTGTAAAATGTTTTCTTGACTTTTCTTTCTTTAGTTTTTGCCAACTTTCTTCTTCATCTCCGTACATTTTTTCCCTTTATTTCTGACTTCACTTTCTTCTTGAATTTACTGTTCAAAAGGTTGCTTGTTGTGTTCTCTCTCTAACATTTCTTTTTGCCTCAAAAATCTTGTATTTTTAATTATGTATCATGAAAATATCTTTTTATTCTATTTGTCCTTATTAAAATAATTTTTCTCAAAATACTTAAATATCTCTCTTACAAATTCAAAAAAAAAAATTATTTTACAACTAATTTTACTTTTCTTTGACATTGAGCTGAGCCACATAATTGACATGTTATTTCTTACCGTGGGTGTTACATTTTTAATGTCATGTCTTGTGTTTGATTCTTCAATTGCTATTGTTTAGGATTCTAAGGCATGATTCTTTTAAATGCAGGTGGAAAATATATTGGACCAATGGTGTTGAAGTGTGATCACTTTACCAATAGTATTCTGTTCCTTTTTGAGGGCTTGATTATAAGTGTTTATGAACAACGTATTTTAAAATGCAGATAATGAAACTGTGAATATTTTATTTTGCTGATTTTTTTTTTCAAATTATTCCTATTATAAACATTTGTTGTCAGTTTTTGTTTCCTCATTTTTAATTAATTTCTCTATTTTAAATTTTCTTTGTTTGGTGCTAAGAACAATGTTAGAAATACCAACTCCAATCCTAAAATTTTTGTACTGTGGAGGTTAATTTTCAACAGTCAAATTTATATTAAGGGCTAATGACCAATTCGATGGAGTGGTAGATGTTTGATCCGTTTGTCTAAGATTGATCTAGTAGTTTAGAGACAAATAAAGTGTGAAAAATAAAAGAGACACCGAAATTTATAGTGGCTCACCTATAGTGAAGGGCTACGTCCATTGTAGTGTTTAGGTTTTCATTATGTATGTAGAAAATATTACAGAGAAGCTTGAAGAAGCTTGAGAGAGACAATAACGGAGGAAAGAGAGAGAGGGCGGCTCTAAGGCGTATTGCAGAGGTAATGCACGAGTTGGTGCGTCTTAAGATGTCCTGGACATTGTGGGAAGTCCTCCTTTTATAGTTGCAAGCTATGATCTTCCATTTAAGGTTAGTTTTCCTTAATTTCTTGAATAGAGTTGACTTTTTTGATTATGTTTTTATTCGAATTTCTTTGTAGACTTCTTATCTTCTGAGATTTGGACCTCCTTTGTTGTGATTTGATATATTCCTAAAATCTAAGAACGGAAGGTTCTTTGGAAGATTCTCAAAATATTCTTCACAGCAGTCGACTCCTCTACTCTAATGAACAGTTATAGTAAAATCCAGATGTTGAAGTCGTTCTAATCTGAACCTAGATTCAAGTCGTCTTCTATCCTTCTTGAACTGTTGAATCCTTCTCATTGATCTCCTTGGATAATGGTTATTCCTAGAGTTATCACCTCCCCATCTAATTTAAGGTGGGGTTAGGGTCAGGAAATCTTTACTTGGGGAATTATCTACATACCTTATCCATTTATCCATTAAGAGTTTAAAAAAATGTGTTACAATATTATCAAACATTAAAGAAAATTCTATTAAATTAACTAAAATATTAAACGATGTAATTATTTATATTTCATAAAATAAATTGAAATCTTAATGCCAAATTTAAATCTAACAATAACAAATTAAGTCTAATAACTTAATCAAAAATTAGCATATGTAAGAGTATATGTAATAGGATGGGGTGGGGAGAGGGGAGTTTCTCCCACCTCGCCCCATCTCCAAATCGAGGGCTAATTTTTGCCCACATATCCTCCCTCACTTCAATATAATGTCTCCCATACCCACATGATTAGGGACATATACCCGCAGATTGAAGCTCAAACTTACTTTCTAAAAATAAGCTTACTTTCCCATCAAGTGTACTCGTTACTATTATTTTACTTCATTGGAACTCAAACTCTTCCCAACGCTAGTCAAAGCCTCATCCTTCCCATGTGTATATTTAGTTTGTTTAGTGTTTTAATACATATATGTTAAATTCTTAAGGGTTAATTTTTTTAATTTGGTATTCACTTTTAAGTCGAGTAAACATATTTAATCAAGTAATGAAAAAAAATTAAATTTACTGTTTCTTCTTGTTAAAACAGAGCTCCATTGGCTTAAACAATATCTCACGGTTGGAACTTTTTTTTATATATTAAATTCTTGCACTTACTTTTAAAGTGTATGGGTCTAGAATTTCTCATTTTACTCTTGATTAATACCCTTTTTACGATAATATAGTTATTGGACTAAAAAGAATATTAATCTAAGAGTGAGGGTAAAATCCAGACCCATGCATTTTAGAGGGTATTTATCTTTTTGTCACGTCCCGGGGCAGGGGTCGGTGATGTGGAGGCTCGATTAGGTGTTATAATCAAAATCCAGAAATAAAGCATTAAGTAAATTCCTAAACAAGCCTCCGTTTCATTAAAATATATTACAAGGAAGAGGTCTAAACTCAAACCTCAACATCACGCAGGATCTATCCACAGGATCTTCATTATCGTACATACATGACACGTGTAAATAACATTACAGACATCAACCACAGTCTAGAAATCTAAATATAAGAGTTTATAAAATTTACAAATTCTTACATTTGTACACCAGGAGGATGAACGCAATCCTCTCCAACTCAAGATGGTAGCAATCTATGCCATCAGCCAGTTTACCGGTTCGCAAGATCTCTTATCTTAAGAAATCATTCATTAAACTTTCTGAAATCGTTTACTATAATCCCATGAACTACAACAAGCCATGGGTCCCATGACTACAACAAGCCATGGGTTCCATGAACTAAACAAGCCATGGATTCCATGAACTACAACAAGCCATGGTTTTTAAATATTTTTCTTTCACAAACAAGCCCCTTTCTTTAAAACATTTGCAAGGCCAAAACTCTTTTAAAATCAGGCTCACAAAGAAAAAAAAGGTAAGAAATCCTACCTCACAATACCAAACCTGTGACTAGCGTTGCTCTATTTCAGCTTTCGCTTCCTCGAAGCCTTTTAATCCGAGCCCTCAGCTAGAAATCACACAAAACAACACTTTAGGATCTGACTCTCATTCCTAAACCAACTCAATCTCAATTATACCATTTGATTTCCTATTAGTGTGCCTTAATCAATTTTCAAGTTTCATAAACGAATTCATGTTTCAAATCATCATTCCAAGGGTTTTCAATCTCGAAACATGGATTAAAGATGCTAATCCATTCATTCTAGGTCCCCAAATGAAGCTAATTTGGGTCCGCCCTGAAAACTGAGGTCAAAAAAGTATTTTCAGGCCAAATGGGGTCAAACCCCGTGTACACCGGTCGACCGATGATAGAGCAGTGTAACACCACCGGTCGACCGGTGGTGTGCAATTCGGTCGACTGAACAGGTCGACCGGTGAGGCCAATGCAATCCGGTCGACCGCACAGGTCGACCGGTGAAGAACACCAATGCGAGAAAACTCACAAAATCAATTCAAAAACCTACAAATTCAGTCCCAAATCAAAATATCTTAAGGGACAACCACTAGATCCATGTTCTAGGTACTAAATCAAATCCAAAGAACCCAAGATCTCTAATTTCTACAATAATTTTACTCAAAATCCATCAAAATCCATTTCGAACCAAAAATAAGTTTTTAAATCTGAGAATCCAAGATTCAAGAGAAGTTTTTTCAGAAACCTTACCTCGAATCCTTGTCTTGGCGTTAAAAACTTCTTGAAATCCTTCTTTGGTTCGAAATCCAGTTAGTTTGAGACAAAAACGGGAGAGAGAAAGAGTGAGAAAATGAGAGTGAGAGTGAGAGAGAGTGAAAACGAAAGAGAGAGGGAGAGAGAGAAAGGGATGGGAAAAAGGAAAGGAAGGAAAAGAAGAGAAAAGAGAAAAAGAAAAAGGAAATGGACAAGTGTCACAAAATTAAAAAAGCAGTCCGGAAATGTGTCCATATATACTTCTGGGTAAAAATGTAAATACTGAGAATATTTAAATATCTTAGAATTATTTAAATTGACACGTCAGAAACATTTATTAATCAATAATCAATTAATTAAATTAGATTAGGCACACTAATAAATCTTAATTACCTCAATTAATCTTGTTTAATTCTTCGAGGCGTTACACTTTTTTTCCTTTCTCTTTTTCGAATTGCAGGTGAAGAAAAATACTTCAATCTCTCCTATAATCTTAGTAAAAGGAATATTATTTCGGCGTTGATCTCGATTGTGAAATTATGGAACACTGGAACTAAAAACTATAATTGTGACATCCCTAAATAATTACAGTGGATTACATCTTGGTATATCAATCCTCGCAGTATATCAAGCATAACATCTTTTTTAAGATATTTCATACAAGTACTATTATTAATCTTCTAAGACTTGAAGAAAAATAGGTTATGTTATTTGTTTGTGGCTGGACTTGGTAATCTAGAGACAATAATTGATTTTTTAAGACATGATAAATAATTTATTTTTATCAATCGAACCATATCAGATTGAAGAGTAAAATTTAAGAAAAAAGTGGCGAAAAGAAATATAAAAAGAGTAAAATTTAAGGAAAAGATGGAAAAAAATGAAAAAAAGGACAAATAATGATTTTATTATTTAGAAAAAAGTAAGAGGAGAAAAAAGATTTTTGCCTTAGATGATGGCCATAAATAGCTAGACTTCGAATCGGAAAGAACACCCACACTTAGAAAGTACTAAGCGAGAAAAAAAAAAAAAAAAAAACAATAAGATTGAGTGATCATGGTGAGTGTTAAGAAGATTATGCAGCAACAGCTGGCTTTGAGGATGATGTTAATCGTCGTTTTAGCGGCGGCTTATTTGGTTGTCGCAGATCCTGATCATGAACATGACGACAAGAACAACAACAACGAGGTCATTAACAGAAAGCTGATGAAATTAGAGCCGCAGCCAAACTGTGGTGGACTAGGTGCTTATTGTGACCAAGCCAATTGGTGTTGCGGAAACCTTGAATGTAAGCGCAACCCGAGAATTACGGACGGCACAAGAGGTATAGTTTACACTTTTTACGACTGCTTTGCATACGTTATTGTTGGTGTGTTTATGCTGAATTGAATACGTTATTGTTGGTGTGTTTATGCTGGTGACGCTCATGTAGTAAAAAGTTGATCTAAAAAAACCTGGTATTCCCTACGATGATTACCGAGATCTAAAAAAATTCTAATACAGCTTATTTCCTAAAATACAAAGATTACTAAGAGGAATAATTATAATTAAATGAATACATAAAAGCCCATAATTGACGTTTGTGATTTCTTTGATAATTTTTGTATTCAAGGAAATTAGTTATATTAGACATTTTCTTTATTATTTGAGATATTATTACTAAATTGTAGTGAATATTTGAGATATTATTCAAGGAAATTGTAGCGAAATGAAAGTGAATATTTGAGATATTATTACTAAATTGTAGTGAAGTAATTGGTTGCAATATTTGAGATATTATCACATGTGATAAGCTTGTTTATGAATGGAATCAATATATTTATTTGTATTGGAGAGAATTCGTGATTTACAATATTAAGATTAAAATTGAATAAGACATTGATTTTTTGGTTTTGAGCTTCCTCAAGTTTGACTTACATATTTATAATTACATACATTATTTTTTCATGATGCCTAATTTATAGTACATAGTATATAGAAAGGAGAAATATATAGCATAAAAAAAGGTTTAAGAAATAAAAAGACAAGGTGAATAATTAAATTTAAATTAGGAAATAAGCGAATTTATAAAATATAAATCATAATTTAAGTTAATGAAAATTGAATGGGGATTTAAGGAGCAACAATTTCAAAAATATAAAAGCTACAATTAAATTAATTAAAAATGAGTTATAATTTAGAGGGAATAGAAATTATGAGAATATACATGCGATTTCTTTTTTAGGGAAGGGTTGCAATTTAATATAATCAACAACTGAAAGTAAAAGATACAGCATATATATATTATGCCCATATAAAATACGATAATAATGCCAATTTTAAATATCATGTGAAACCATATTATTTATTCAAAATCGAAAAAGGAGCAATCTGATCAATTTATTACTACGTTTACGATCTGGATATATATAATATATTTGCTTCAATTGTTAAAATATATAAGATAATTAGTAAGGAAAAAAAGTATAAACAGTGAATTTAATTTGTTATAATTGACTTGCAAAAAAAAAAAAAAAAATGAAATTGCGCCAATCAATGGATATATATAATCAACGAAATCATATCAAAGGAAACAAGAAAATTGGTAAACATTTCCCTCCAAAATCAAATCAGCATAGATACATACATAACGATAATGTTTTTGATTTGGATCGTATCATTTTACAATATTTATCACAAATTAATCCACATTCCAAAATTAACTCTACGTCAATCACTATATAAACACAACCAAAGTATAAGATAAAACACATAAATTAACAACAAAAACAAAGCGAAAAGATTGGAAAAATAAAATAAAATAAAATGGCCACCATGAATTTCAGTCCTCGTTTCCAGCTAGTAGTAGTGTTTTCTTTGGTGTTCTTATCAGTTCTGTCCGAAACATGCCAAGGATTATTATCAAAAACACATGTTAAGATGACCAACAATATTTTGGGCTACTTTGATCTAACGGTTCACTGCAAATCAGGAAATGATGATCTACGAGATTTTAATGGTGTAATAATTGGTATTTAGTTGAGTACTTTTAATGTAATCATTAGTATCTGACTGCATATAGAAGATGCTTCAATATTCGGCTTTATGAGATCAATCTTCCCTTTCAATTTTATTTTGAATAGTACGTTTTTATACGGTATATATACATGCATATATTTGTGTGGAAATAGAGAGTACAATAGAATTTAGAAATAATATGCATGTGCAAGCTAACAGATTCTTTAGCTTATCAAATTAACAAAAAAAAAAAAAAAAAAAAAAGATTCATCTATATATACATATATTGTACATGCATATGGATAATGCATATATGGCTAATTATCGTCACAACACATGCATGCGAATGCATTGGTTTATATCTTTTCCCTTTTCTTTTTTTGATATAAAAGAAGTTTTTTCTACGTTTTGTCACTTTTTTTTATAAATATGTTTTTGTCATTTCACGTCCGTCGTGTACTTTTAGGTTGAAAGGGTACTCAAGACATTACAGACGCGTTTAGAACTCGTTCAAAATGATTTTATTTTTTATATGTAAATAAAAATGAAAACGTTTTTAATTTCAGACATAAATTCTTTTTAAAAATATATTTGATAGTTTTATCTAGAGATTATTTTTAGTATAAAAATGAGATCAATCTTCCCTTTCAATTTTATTTTGAGTAGTACGTTATGAGATTGCAGCCGACGATGTGGTTTGAAAAGAATTGCCATCCATTAAGCATTGGGAAAAGAATTGTCTTCGATCAAGACAACAATAAGTGGCAATGATATTGGATTTACAATAAGTTCCTGAATAGACATAACGGGAAAAAAAAATTTGAAGACAATAAGGGCAAAAATTGAAAAAGAAAAGATACAACTTATTCTTTTAACTTGTAACTTTTAAAAAAAAAATTTGATTCTAATAAGATATAAGTTTATTCGAGTTCCAAAAATTATGAAAACAAAAGAAAAAACAAAGAAATGAAATACCAATCATAATGAGGATAGCAAACCCACCGCAAGCAAAAAAGAAAAAAAGAAAAAAAAGAAAAGAAAAAGGAACTAGATCATAACAAAGAAACTCCCCCAAAATCCGTGTATCCCCATTCAGCTTGCAAGAATTAATAAACCTGTTATAACTAGTTATTTATAGTAACTAGCGTTGCTTCCATATCAATTGACGAATTGCATATTTTAGTGGGGAAAAGTTCCAACAAAAAAGGGTTTCATAAAACAAAAAAAAAGAAAGAAAGAGAGACATATAATTCAATGCAGTATAATATAAGTCACTCTTATTAAATCATATGATAAAGGTAGACATATAAAGACACGCGTCATGAAACTAAATTAAGTGGTACTTATATTATTCAGCATGTTTGAATATATATTATTTGCATATATATTATTCTTGAAGCTGACGTTTGATTAGGCCGAACCTATCATCACGATACCGGCCTCTTGCGATGCAGTGCTACCAGAGATTGACTCATTTATATTGAATCGAGATGATGTATCGTCTAATGTTGTCACTTGTCACTACCGATGTTGATACAATTATGAAAGATAAGTCTCGCATAGTTGATGATTTTATTAATGACTAAGATGATGAAACTTTAGAGGAGTACGTTGAAGAGGAATGTTGACGCATTTGAGGCCCCAGCAACAAAGATAAAGCATAGCCGGTGGTGGCAAGAAGCAAGGTCAACCAACTCCATTACACTTGCCTTGTCCACAAGTTCCTGACCAGTCTGTGATTCCTGGGTTGCGCTTACATTCAAGGTTTCCGCAACACCAATTGGCTTGGTCACAATAAGCACCTAGTCCACCACAGTTTGGCTGCGGCTCTAATTTCATCAGCTTTCTGTTAATGACCTCGTTGTTGTTGTTGTCATGTTCATGATCAAAATCTGCGACAACCAAATAAGTCGGCGCTAAAATGACGATTAACATCATCCTCACGGCTAGCTGTTGCTGCATAATCTTCTTAGCACTCGGCCATGATCACTCAATCATATTGTTTGTTTTTTCTCGCTTAGTACTTTCTAAGTGTGGGTGTTCATCATCTAAGGTAAAAATCTCTCTAGCTCCCATGCAGCTACGTGGCAACACCTTCTCCTCTTACTTTTTTTCTAAATAATAAAATCATTATTTGTCCCTTTTTTTATTTTTTTTCTTTCTTTTCCTTAAATTTTACTCTTTTTATTTTTCTTTTCGCCACTTTTTTTTAAATTTTACTCTTTTCAATTTTTTTTTATTTTTATTTTTCATTATTTCTCAAGTGCTCTGTCCTCTAAAGCATTTCAACTTATTTACAACGTACTTTTTTTTGAAATACTTTTTCTCCTTGATTTATTTGTGTCAAAATAATTTCTTTTAAATCACTGACACCTAATATTAAATTTCTTACATTATTCTCTTAACCTAACACCAAAGTTAAATTCTAAATCATCGACATATTAAATATTGAATTTCTTAAGATGACTAATCTTCTTCATACTTGCCGTGATCACTATATCTTAGTGGTTTATTTTTCTCCTTATTTTTGCTTTTTGTTATTTCTCAAGTGCTCTGTCCACCTAAGCGTTTTAACTTATTTACAACACGCTTTTCTTTGAACTCTTTTTTTCTTTGATTTATTTGTCTTAAAATAATTTCTTTTAAGTTCTTGACACAAAATTCTAAATTTCTTACATTATTCGCTTAACGTAACACTAAAGCTAAATTTTAAGACATGTTTATTTCACCAATTTGAGTTTAGAATTCGAGTTTTGCTACAGTAAAAAACCCTAAAAAAAGTCATATCTAACTTTTTTACTACGGTAAAAAGCTCTCACGTAAACTCACATATTAACTCGAATTAAAAAGTCGAATCAGTGAACTAAACGGGTCCTTAAATCATTGACATATTAAATTTTGAATTTCTTAAGTTAACCACTTAGTTAGTATTAATTTAACCACTTAGTTAACATAGTTACTCACTATATTCTAAATCATAAATATCATAGCTCATTTAATCCGGAATTGAGCTTGAAAGTATTAATCGTATCGTCTCTTTGGGTCATCTTTCTTGAACTTATTGCATATCAAATTAAAATATCTTTAGCAAAATGAAATATATCAAAGCATTCCATAAAACTTAAGGAAATTCCCATACGAACTAAGTTAAAAGGAATCTAGAGTAGATTTAGCATTACAACTAGTCACAATGGCCCGAGACTTCACAATTACGGCACAAGGCATATTCGATTGATAGAAAATCAATTATTTCTCATTATTTAGAAAATCAATTATTGTCTATAAATTGGGTCGATATATTGTGAATATGTGATATGATTCAATTGGTATAGTTCGATTGGTGAAAAAAACAATTATTTCTCATGATTTAAAAAATGAATTATTGTCTATAGATTATATGTAATAATTTAATGCTAGCTAGTATGATCACGTGGCCTTACTAATTATGGAAGGGATTTATTACAGCATGAGGCATGGTGGATCCCCATTCCATAAATGGAAAAAATCAATTATTGAAAATTTGTGATATGAGTCGATTAACTTAAATGTGAAAGGGTTTGATCGCTAAAAAATCAATCATTTAACATGATTTAAAAAATCAATAATCATCTTTAAGTTAAGTTGATATAGCAAGAGGCTTTGGTAATTAAGGAAGGGAATTTCTTATAGCAAGAGGCATATTGGATCTCTGTTTCTTAAATGGGAAAAATCAATTATTGTGAATATCATGTGATACAAATTGGATTGATTTCTTCAATCTGATATGGTTCGATTGATAAAAATAAATTATTTATCATGTCCTAAAAAATTAATTATTGTCTCTAGATTACCAAGTCCAGCCACAAACAAATAACATAACATTTTTTTCTTCAAGTCTTAGAAGATTAATAATAGTCCTTGTATGAAAGATCTTAAAAAATATGTTATGCTTAATATACTGCGAGGATTAATATACCAAGATGTAATCCACTGTAATTATTTAGGGATGTCACAATTATAGTTTTTAGTTCCAGTGTTCCATAATTTCACAATCGAGATCAACGCCGAAATAATATTCCTTTTACTAAGATTATAGGAGAGATTGAAGTATTTTTCTTCACCTGCAATTCGAAAAAGAGAAAGGAAAAAGAGATAAATACCCTTTAAACTGCATGATTCTAGATTTTACCCTCACTCATTGATTAATATTCTTTTTAGTCCAATAACTATATTATAATAAAACGAGTATTAATTAAGTGTAAAATTAGAAATTCTAGACCCGTGAACGTTAAGAGTAAGTGCAACAACAAAAAAAAAGTTCCAACTGGTGAGATCTTGTTTAAGCGAATGGAGCTCTGTTTTGACAAGAAAAAATAATAAACTTAATTTTTTTTCATTACTTGATTAAATATGTCTACTCGACTTAAAAGTGAATACCAAATTAAAAAAATTAACCCCCTAAGAATTTAACATATATGTATTAAAACACTAAACAAACTAAATATACACACGGGAAGCATGAGCCTCTGACTAGCGGTGGCCAAAAATTAGCCCTCGATTCTCCCCTCTCCCCACCCCATCCGATTACATATACTCTTACATATGTTGAATTTTTACTTATAATCAAGCCCTCAAAAAAGAACAGAATACTATTGGTAAAGTGATCACACTTCAACACCATTGGTCCAATATATTTTCCACCTGCACTTAAGAGAATCATGCCTTAGAATCCTAAACAATAGCAATTGAAAAATCAAACACAAGACACCGTTTAATTCGCTGATTCGAGTTTTTAATTCAAGTTGAGATGTGATTTTATGTGAGAACTTTTTACTATAGTAAAAAAGTTAGATGTGATTATTTCTTAGAGCTTCTTACTGTAGTAAAACTTAAATTTTAAACTCGAATCAGTGAAATGAACGGGGTAACATGCACAGTAAGAAATAACATGTCAATTATGTGGCTGAGCTCAATGTCAAAGAAAAGTAAAATTAGTTGTAAAGAATTAACTTGTTGGACTATGAAATTTGTTTGCTAACCTAAACAAGGAAATAACAGCTAGCTAAATGCAATCGTTACTTTTCATGATCCTCTACGTTTTACAATTACTCTCTTTTTATAGGAGGATCGAAAAGCGATGAGTAAAGACATCAGTTAAAAGTTTTACACAAATTATAAGGATACAAAAAGAGAAGAATAAATTTCTAACATAAAAGAAGATGATTAATGTTCATGTTTTATATTTTAGAAAAGAAAATATATTTTGGTAGGGGCACATATAAAAAAATTTTAATACGCAATTAAAAAGTATTTATAAAGACAACATTTGAAAAAATTATATTTTTTATAATATTGTAAGAGAGATATTTAAGTATTTTGAGAAAAATTATTTTAATAAGGACAAATAGAATAAAAAGATATTTTCATGATACATAATTAAAAATACAAGATTTTTGAGGCAAAGAAATGTTAGAGAGAGAACACAACAAGCAGCCTTTTGAACAGTAAAAACAAGAAGAAAGTGAAGTCAAGAAAACATTTTACAAAATAGAGAAAAAAAAGGGCACAAGAAGACAAAATAGTTAGAACGAAATATTTGAGTAGTTAATTGTGAGAGGATGATTAGCAAATGCATTGAGCTTTATATAATAAAAATGCATTGAGCTTTATATATATTTAACGCGGTTTATTGTCAACAAGACAATATTATCGTAGAGATTGTATTTTATGGTAATGATGGAATAAACCAGTATAAATATAACACTTTCCATCAAATCAAAACCAAAAAAAGGGACCTATACATGTAAGAGACTACAATAAAAATAAAAAGGAGAGGAGTGAAATAACATAATTGATAAGGTGATTAGTAAATTACAACATATTTTTTAAAATAGGTAGTTTATAGTATAATTTAATACATGCTTCTAACAATATTAAAAAATCAAAGTATCACTCTCATTCTCACCTCTCTCCTTTCCCCTCTAGTCCACCATGGCCGGCACTAGTGACTGACGGCTATCGCTGGTGACTACTGACCGGCGGCCGTCGTGGTAGGCGGTAGATAGCGTATTTATCAATAAATACTATATTTACTAGAAAATATTATCTTTACCTGAAAATATGTATTTACCTTAATAATCTGACCATAGGGACCAGCAACAATTAAATATTGTATTTATCGGTAAAGATCGTATTTACTAGTAAATATAGATATTTTTTTTAAGATGGCCATTCAAGAACGATGTCTTTACATTCATTTACTAGATCTCGTAGTCGAGAGCAGTCGCAATAGATAAGAGAATGCGGGGAGGAAAAAAATTATGGATTACTCGAATTGAGACTCAGGTTCTGTGACAGATTTTCGGGTCAAATAAATGTAGAAAGGCTGCTCTCTGCCTTCAACAAGTCAAACGATTGTATAAGTCGAGTCTAAAGATAGCATAGCCACCACCACAAGGTTCTCGCCACTGCATAGGTCAAGACAATCTTGGCCGTCAGACGTCAGAGGTGTTGAAATAACACTCCCAATCAGCAACCTCCATTCTTCATCTCACCTTCTATCAACCCCAATCACTAGAAAGTCCATAACTAAATGAGAATGATAATTAAATTGAAAAAATTAGATAAATACTTTTTAAAGTGTATGAGTTAAAATTTTTATCTTTTACTCTTGATTAATATTTTTTTAGTCAAATAATTATATTAGTTAAAGAGTATTAATCAACAATAAGAAGTAAAAATTCAAACTCATACCCTTTAAAAATAAATTTAAAAATTTTCTCAATTAAAAATTTCAGCATCGGGAGCTCGCGACACACCTGGAGGTAAGCCGGAGCTCTGATCACGACCCTCCTTTTAGACCTCTCAATCTCTCTCTTGTTTCTGTCAAGGGCCGGCTCCTCTTTTTTTTAAAAAAAAAATTATGAGTCCGTTTAATTCACTGATTCAAATTTTTAATTCGAATTAAGAATAATTTTATGTAAAAATTTTTTACTG